AGAAGAAAATAGAAAGGAAGGTTAGAAGCTAGGACAATCTACAAAGAGGAAATGTAGGGGTTATAGAGGTATGGTTAAGTCTTCAAGACAATTTAATTTTTTTTTTTTATCAACACACTCTACATTCACAAGTACCTAAGAAAGAAACCTTCATGTGATGCTCTGTTAGAGTGGGAGTCAGTAAGGCATGCTTGAAAGGATGGTATTCACACCAAAGAGACCAAACGACATAAGTTCTTTGTAGCTATGGATGGTGTCAATGAAAATAGAAAGAAATAAAAGAATACCAACTAGATGCAACAGTTCCTCCTACGGCTAAAGTCATCGTATATAACATGTACAGTGTTGTTAGAACAAGTGCATGGTGGGGCGATCATCTGTGAGAAGATGTGGGAGGTTAGAAGTTGATGGAATCATCGGTGATTGGGGTGCTATAGAAACTCTTGAATGTGAATCTGTAGTTTGTCTCTGCTCATGTTTCCCCATGTTATGATTGTTATGGCTTTGCTTAGCATTTTTTTTTTCTGGAAAGTTGCTTAATATATTCTTACTATAGACGAATCCTAAAAATCAAATCCTTATTTTACCAATTATCATAAAATCTCAAGTCTCTTTGACACTTTTCGTTGCATAGAGCAAGACAATAGATACAAGAGATTGTTCATGAGAATGAATAATTAATAAATGACTTGCAATATGTCATTGTAATTAATAATGAAAAATATGAAAATAGTTATAATCAAAATCAAACTAATAAATTATCCCGCGGGGATGAAAAGAAAGAAAACAAATTGACTTCAGTTGAACTAATAAGAACTAGGCATCACTCAAACAAGAGCAGGCCAAACCAGTAATTTCTCTCTTGTATAAGTTTGCAATTGCTTCACAGCTCCATCTTCCATGTCTTACATTCTGACATCAAAACCTCCTATAGCTCTCTGATGGTGGTATTCCACCTTGTCATCTATGTAATAAATATAGTAGTCTTTTACGCCTGGAAAATTTTCAAATGAAACTAACAATGACAAATTAAGTCCCAAGAACAACACATTATTGCCCGAACTCTTAAGTTTGTACCATCTTTTTCATAGTTTAGTGTTTAACCTATACATCTTGAATCATGTTGTCATATAATGACAAATGTTTCCATAATCAGGAAGAGGAAGACCACCATCTCTATAACACCTTTCAACCAGCACTAACCCTTCAGTGGTCCCAACAAGGTATAACCTACAAATAGGAATAAATTTGGGTGACTTCACCAAGATATCTTCAACCTTTGTGATAAGTAGAACAACGAACACAATCTGACAAGAAAATCAGAGATGTGTATCAATGGTTGTCTTCACGATGATAACAGAAGTTCCTTTGTTATGTACATATAGTTGTTTGGTACAATGAATGAGGAAAAATCTTCAGTAGGAAATTGAGTGATATCAGTTAAATTATAGGAGCTAGTTTCTATAAATTGGAAGTTAAATTGCAACAAATCAAGAAGGGAATATTCTACGCCACTAATTACGCCAATACTCTCCCTCAAGGTGGAGCATGTATGTGAGTAACTCCCAACTTGCTAATGAGATGATTGAAAGGTTCCTTGCCTAATGGTTTGGTGAAGACATTTGCAATTTGCTCAGAGGATCGAATGTATCGAGGAATAATCAAGTTGGACAGGATTTTTTGCTGAATAAAGTGACAATCAAGCTCAATGTGCTTTGTTTGCTCAAGGAATATCGGATTTTCAGCGATGTGAATGCCAGCTTGGCTATCGCGATAGACAATGATAGGAGAAGTATAAGCAACACCCAGATCGGTAAGCAAATATTTTAACCATTTAATTTCTACAGTGAGAGTAGTCATGGCACGTTACTCTCCTTTGGCAGAAGACCTAGAGATAGTGCTTTATTTCTTGGTTTTCCATGAAATTGAAAAGGAAACCAGCATGGTACAATAACCAGTGGTAGAACGTCGAGTTGTGGGGCAACTTTCCCAATTAGAGTCACAAAAACCACTTAAATAGAAAGTACTATAAAAGATAGCAGGATGAATTTTCCAGGAGCTCCTTTGAGATATCAAAGCACTCTTATAGCAGCGGTCATATGGCTAGTATCAGGAGAGTGCATGAATTGACTTAAAATGAGAACTGAATAGGCAATATTAGGCCTCGTAAAAGTGAGGTAAATAAGATGACCCACAAGTCGACGATAAGCAAAAGGATCAAATACAGGAGTCCCATCATCAGGTGTTAAATGAAGGTGTTATTCCATGGGAAAGTCAACAAGTTTGGCACCAAGTAATCCTGTGTCGGTGAGAAAATCCAATGTATATTTGTGTTGGCATAGGAAAATGCCTTCGCAAGAGTGAGCAACTTACCAAGAAAATACTTCAATGGACCAAGATCCTTGAGAAAGAATTTATTGCCAAGAAAGGTTTTGAGATGCTCGATAGTAGCATCATCATTTCCAGTGACAATTATATCATCAATGTTAACTACAACAAATGTAGAAGAATGCCTAATATGTCGAATGAACAATGAATAATTAGCCTTGGATTGAGAAAAACCAGCTTGTTGAAGAGTATGAAAGAATTTGGCAAACCATTGGCAGGAGGCCTATTTCAAGTCATAGAGTGATTTGTTTTATTTACAAACACAGGCTTCCCCCTTTCAAGCGAACCCGGGTGAAAATTTCATGTAAACCTCTCCATGTAAATCACCATGTAGAAATGCGTTGTTGAAATCAAGTTGTTAAAGGTACCAATTCTTGATGGAGACAATAGAGAGAAGAACTCTAATTGTGACAAGTTTGGTGACGGGTTCAAAAGTATCAGGATAGTCAACCCCCTTAATTTAGGTAAAACTTTTGCAACCAAATGGGCTTTATACCTGTCAACTGCGCCATTTGACCAATATTTAACTTTGTAAACCCACCTGCACCCAACCGGCTTGTTATTGAGTGGAAGATGGGCAAGGCTCCAAGTATTATTCTTTTCAAGAGCACTAATTTCAACAGCCATAGCATCGCGCCAATTAGGAATTTTCACTGCTTGTGTGAAGTATATGGGCTCATCTATGGAAGAAATTGCAGAAAGAAAAGCTCAATGTGCATGGAAAAATTTAGCAAATGAAAGATATTTGTGGAGGGGATAAAGAGTACTTGTTTTTTCAGAGTCCAAGGAAGAGGGTGGTGTACCATTAGTGATTGCAACACAATGATAATCTTTAGGGTATGCTGTGGGTGAAGTTTCCAAATTGAAGGAAACGAAATAGGTGAATAGTTGAATTATCAAGGTTGATTTGATTGAACCAAGGTTGGTTCGATGGAAATATTTGGGGGGCACAGTGGTGTAGGATTTTTAAAAGCAAAGTCATAGTGTGGATTATCATCAATAGGCAAGGGAATGATAAGCATGGGATTTGGTGACAAAGGAACATGCATGGGATTTGGTGACAAAGGAACATCCAAAAAAGGATAAATGGTTTATATTGGCGTAATTAGTGGTGTACAATATTCCCTTCTTGATCTGTAGCAATTTGACTTCCAATTTATAGAAACTAGCTCCTATAATTTCCTGATATCACTCAGTTTCCAACTAAAGATTTTTCCTCATTCATTGTACCAAACAACTACATGTATAGATCAAAGGAACTTCTTTTATCATTGTGAAGACAACCACTGATACACATCTCTACTTTACTTATCAAATTGTGTTCTTTGTTCTACTTATCATGTTATCAGAGCAGTGAAAGATCTGATTTTCTGTAATCATGGCACAGAATGAAGATGGCAAAGATTTGAGTTCAAATGACAACCAAGGATTGAACAAAGATGCTTCCTTTATTCATCACTCAAACAACCCTACAGTTGTTCTAGTTTTTCCACTCCTCTCAGGAGACAACTATGGAACATGGTCCCGTGCAATAAACAAGATTGGCTTCTTTGATGGGTTAATTGAATTACCTAAGGACACCAATAAGTTGCATCAATGGGAGTGATGCAATGATCTAGTAAGTTTGGGGATACTTAATTCCACCAAAATTGAGATTTGTGGAAGCATACTCTGTACAGAAACTGCTAGAGATATATGGGTCGATCTTTCTGATCGATTTAACCAAACTACTGAACCCAAAATCTATCAATTGAAGCAATCTATTGCTAAAACCAAACAAGAAGATTCCTCTCTTTCCACCTACTTTACAAAGATGGACACACTATAGGATGAACTTAACTCATTCTCAGTTGTGGAACCTTGTACATGTGGGCATGGAAAAGCAGTAGCCACTAGCCTCCAACAAGATCGTGCCATGGAGTTCCTCTAAGGGCTTCATGAGCATTATTCTGCACTTCGAAGCCAAATTTTTCTGATGGATCCACTTTCAAATGTGGCCAAAATATATTCCCTTGTGAGATAGGAAGAAAACAACAAGAAATACATTCTTCATCTTTTTCTGTCGCCAAACTAGAGGCCGCTACATTCACAGTAAATTCAACCTTAACTAATGCCACTGGAAATCAATCTAAACATCCTAATATGTGCAGCAATAACAGGGGCTTTCACTCAGGCCAATGAGCAAAACAGTGGTGGAGAAAATCTTAGAAAAGGAAAGACACATTCCACTACACTTACTGCAATTTAGACAATCATACTATTGATGTTTGTTATAAATTGCTTTGATATCCCAGTGAAAGACCAAGGAATTCTTCCAAGAAATCAAATTCGGGTTCCTCCTCTTTGAGACTTATGCCATCCAAGGACCGAGCTCTGGTATCTGCTCCCTTAATTAAGCCAATCCTTTTGGAAAGCAATTAGCATCAAAGACAACAAGGTCACCATGATAGGTTATGACATAGAATTTTCTGCTATAAAAAAGAACATCTAAAAAGCATTTCCAAGCTAAGGAGACATTTGTCCATCTCTGATCACCATATCTACATAAAGCTAATTTATCGAGTTCTCCATAGAGAGCCGTAGCCATTAGAGCTCCTGATGATAAAGCAACTTTAGTTATGAAAACCTCTTGAATTGCTCGTGGAAACTATACCTGGACACCGACCTTGTCGGACAATAGTATATTCTTCTCCATGCTTCTCAGCCTGATACTCCAATACATTTGGAAAATTTGATATTGCAGGAAGAGAAATTTCAACCATAGTGAATGGATTAAGGAGATGCAATTCTAAACCATCCTCAAATTTAACCAACCAACCATTGGAAGATCCACAATAACAATTTCCCCGTGCTTCGGGTAGCTCAAAAGTGCAAACCTTCTTCTCAAGAAGGCTATACACATTGCAATACATCTCATTATCATCATCAAAAGGTATGGTTAGCCATGGGATTTGACAAACTCGAAGTTTGGGCCTATTAGGCTGCACATATTTCTAATGCTTACAAATAGCACAAAACAACATATAATCAGCATATGACATGCACTTCTCAATTAGGTTCAATAAATCCACAGGAAGCTTAGTCCATTGACCCATTTCTTCTGATTTATCTGTCTCCGTTGTACATAAACAAGGAGTTGAGAAAATTTTAAAACTCTAAAAAATTTTCATTTTTTTTCCCAATTTTAGGGGTTGCTGGAGTGGGGTAGAAGAAAAATGAATGTGCAAGAGCAGCAAACAACAAGTGAACTAAAAGTCAAATTGAAAAAAAAAATCCAAGATGAATCTAGCAAAAGGTTAAAACAAAAGCCTTTTAAAAAAAAAAAACTTCTTATCATAATACCTTCTTCTTTTTTTTACACCGATTTAATATGATTGAAGGTAATTTAGATAATTGAAAAAAAAAATTATTCTAACTTTTATTTCTTCCAAAAAATAGAATGAAATTTTTTTTTTCTTACACATTTTTCATACTAACTAAATACATGCATGAAAATATATTTTCTTTCTTTTTTTCTTGCTTTTTTTATCTATCACTTTCACTTCACATCATTTTTCTCTTCATAACTGATGATGTACAAAGCATAATTGAACAAAGTGAAGATAGCAGATGCTTTGACTCGAGTAAATCTGAGCTCCAAGGCTCTTTGGAATGGGGTTTATAGGGGAAGGGGGCCAATCGCACATAGGAATTATAGTGGTTCACCAGCTCAGGCTCGGCTAATCCACTCTTCAAAGGAGTCTCTTGCTCCAAGGGGGATATATTAATGATGGGCGAGAAATTACAAAAATGTTCTTGGTAACTTGGGTTCCTTGCCCCATAATGAGGAGTTTTTATAGTATTTATAGCTAAATTTGAGCTCCGCTGAATCTGAGGCGAAATCTTCGCATCTTGTAATGTTTGGTTGATTTAGGCAGCGATTATGAAGTGTGATGAGGGTGTGATGAGGAAATTATGAGTTTGCAGCCTAGGCTGGCGTATGTTGCCAGTGAGGAGATGCTTGGCGGTTGCCAGTTGTCTTCCCCTCTGTTTGCTATGAGGTGCAGGTCTAGGGAGATCGAGTTCTGGAACTCAACGCGATATTTTTGTGGCTGGGTTGAGCAAGGTCACCAATGGTCGACCTCGATTTGCACAAGATCGAACTTCATTCTGACGGTTTTGAGTAATGTGCAATCATTCTTTTCTCATTTTTTGCGCATGTCCCATATCTCAAGGGTCCATGTACACTTGGCTTTAAACGCCTTTGCAGATGAAGAACTGTTTTTGCCTATCCTTTGAATTTTCTCTGTAGACTCTACCTCTTCTCTCATTCCCTTGTGATTTCATCTTCCCCATCTTACTGGTAGCTTAGAGCTTTGCTGGAAACCCTCAGTTCCATCCAAAGTTCTAAGGGGACTGCTTTGTCGTTCCCTTGAATTTGTTCTAGGTTATGAGTCTTTGCTCATCCTTGGTTAGGTACATCTTTTTGCTCTGTTCCTTTCTTTACTCTAGATCCCTAAAATCCAAGGTGCTTGTTGCATTTTTGGGCTTTTTGTTTCTGTTATTTTAGGAATCGTGGTTATTCCTCGTCCTTTCTTCCTTTCTTTTTGGATCTTTATTCCACCACTAGGATCTTCCTTAATGGTCGTTGGTGTCTCAACCTTGTGACCTTGAGGGATTGCTTTGCTAACGTTCCTTTTTCTTATTCCTCCTTTCGTCTCCCTTTCTCTAATCCCACCATGTCTGATTCTGTGACGCCCCTAAAACCGGAGGTCATTAGTTTACCGTTGCCCACCCGTCAACCAGCGAAAATACTCATGAGTGCTGCACCATCCGACATCACACTAATAATATCCCTTCACCCGGGATTGTAACTCACACATTGTAACTCACACATGTAACCCATGTTCCTTAATTATTTAATCCAACCGTGGTTCAAGGTACCACAACTCATGCCTCTTTATTGTCCAATTACATCATTTGAACCAAGGGAATCAAAGGTCGAGAGCATAGCACTTTAGTTTTAAAATTTCAAATTTTAGGAAACAGTATCGGTATTGTATACCGGTACGGTTTGCCTTCTGGACAGACTGTACCGGTACTCTCAGCCCAGTTTTGCATGTCTCGCCCGTTTTCGGTTTCCGATCCATTCCAAAACCTATTTTTCCCATCCAAAACATACTTAACAATGTTTTTCACATAATATCTAATATATACAAAGTCTATTACAAACCATTCCATACAATTACATGTCAAATGAAATTTAACAAAAGTTTTACACAAAAACTCGGTTCAAAAGCCACAACCCGGCTCTTCTTCATCTTTGAGGCACCGAGTGAGAGCCCTCTACCAATGTGCCGTCTACACCTGAAATATTTTCCTGTATAGGGTGAGTCATGCCCAATAGAGTATTTCCTACAGAGGCTACTCCCCAATCTAGATGCATATGATATGCTCACATGCAACATTCAACATACAAACATTCATTCCAAACAAGAATGTACAATTCAATGTTGGAATATAACATGTCATGTCATGATATGAGATGATATCTACTCATGCGATTTAACCCGAACCCTTCGTAGCTCCATAACACATGTAATGCCAATGTGTATAAGGTCGAGCTTTTCTAGCTCCCGCCTTTTACCTTCACCCCATGTTAGGCCATGAGTATACAACCGGGCTTTCCAAGCCCCCGTCATTAGTGTTACACACCCAATGACTATTTAAAATCTCTAGGTTTTTCTCGGGGTGGGTATTTATGGACTTACACCAACGGTCACCCAACCGACACGGAATTTATGGACTTCCACCAATGGTTCTGCGTACACTGACACACTTTATGGGCTCTTATACCAACAGAAGTGCGTATCCGAATCACTGAGTCTCTCACCCGAGGGATTGTCTAGCCCTTCTTACTAACCCCGACCCAATTCTTTTTTTTCTTTTTATGCAACGTGTGACTCATCCGGATCTTCGATCCAACTTTCTCGAGCCCGCTCATCATCCACCTACGTGGTGTTGACGTCAACCATGCACTCACACCCAAATATACGATGTTTCTATGCATATACAATGTAATGTACCCTTGCTATAACAATGTCATGCCTCATATATAATGAATGTCATATGAGCAACTTTAAACACATATATACATATCCCATGCATATACATTTTACTTTCACCACAATGTAAATATCTCTATTAGCATACATCAACATTTTTATAACCAACAAAAATCACAAGCATATTATGTCCTCAAACATGCCAATAGCACAATTTATTCACAAAGGCATAATCTAAACACATAGCATGCCCACATATTACCCATTTCCATAGGATTTTACAAGGAATTACCACAATCCATTCCAATTAGGAGTTTACTTTAAAATCATTTATATGCTCATTTTCATACCCATTTCATCAATTTCACAACATAGGTAAGTGATATACCATTTAATCAACCTACCCATTACATATGAACATCTTAGGTTGTAAAATAAACCCAAGTAAGAAGAAACTCTACCTCTTGAAGCGTAAAGAACATGTAGGGAAGCTCTAAGACTTCAACTCAAACTCTAATTCAAGCCTTCCCAAAATCTCATTTTTTCAACCTTCAGTGAAAACCCTCTTTTTTGGTATGTAGGCATAGCCCTCGATGAGGAGACCGACTTTAACTCTTGGCCTGAGTGGATTTGAGTGACGGAATATCGTAGATCGTAAAGAGAAGGTGGACTTCTTCTCTCTTTTCCCTCTCTTGTCTACACTTTGGGGAAGAAAATCTGATTTTCTTCCGCTTTTTATAGTCCCCCAATGCTTGATCCACAATACGCCACACGACCCTATTTTTTCGGGTCCATTTTCACCTCAAAATGATTAAATTTTGTTCCGGTTCAAGTTTAAAATATTTTATTTTAATTAGCCTTAAATTATTTTTCAAATTTTAAAATTTTATTTTTGGGTCACTCGAGACTCGACTGCCTCGTAAAAAGTAAAAAATCTAACTATCTCAGACTTCGACGAAAATTGACAGAGTAACTAGATTTTATGAGATGAATCCAACGGTGAAGTCCGTTTCATCATCCGAGTTCTAGAAAAATTTAGGTTTTTAACCCGTATTGTAGCGATAATTTATAGTTTTGTCCTTTTTCATAAAAAGATTAAATTTACCCGGGTTTTACAGATTCCTCCAAAGTTACTGCTTCATTTGTATCCCTTACTATGGGAGAGAGGTCCCCCTGAATAGGAGGACATTAATTTCGGCGATATGGATGATGAGATAGATAACTTTTCTGGTGTCAATCTCATTAATACTGGGGAAAAGGCTGAGGACCTCCCTTCATCATCTTCTCCTGTGCCGAGGTCCAAGAATACTAGGAAGGGAAAATCTAAAGTGAGTGATATTGGGGTTTCTGGCAGTATCGAGGAGGTAGATATTCCCCCCAAAAGCATTAGACCTCGTCGGCTTTAGTGAGGTCACCCCCTTTCATGAAAGTCTTATCAGTTAGATTTGGGTTTCCTCTGGGTATGCGGTACTGGTGTCCCTATACAGATCTTTGGTATGACTCTGAAGTATCTAAGAAAGTCTATTTCTTCGTGGCCTCTCTAGAAAATGGTCTTCGCTTCCCCATGCATCTTTTTCTTCAAAGTGTTCTCTAGCACTTCAATGTCTATCCTGCTCAACTTTCTCCTAATTTTTAGGGGATTTTGGTAGGCCTCCTTGTTTACTTTAAGAAGCATGACCTTGGAGTTCCCATTGTGCCACTGCTCATGAATCTTTTCAACGTCAAAGTTACCCCGCTTGACGGTTTTTGTATATATCTAAGCAGGTAAAATCCCATATTTTTATTATTGATCTCCCGAGCTCCTACAAGGGTTGGAAGAAGCTTTTCTTCTTCGTGTCTAGGAGAGAATGGGAATACAACCGTCAAGATGTAGCTAATTCCCTTCCTGTGCCTCGGGTCAGGTCTGCCCCTGACAACCTGGGTAAGCCTTGCCCGAGTAGACTTGGATTATCCTTGGCATTTCATTCTGTTGACTTCGTTCCAATTGTTCTTTTTCAGGTATTAGGCCAGAGCTTAGTGCTGAGGGCGAGATTGTTTTACTGGGTTTAAAG